CCCCAAAACCCCAAAACCCCAAAACCCCATGATCAATGAATAATTTTAAATACAGTAGAAGCATTTTATAAATAAATTTAAGTCAAATAGAATGGATCGGTAGTAGCAATTCTAAATAACATCAACTTAGTCTACTCAAAAGCCTAAAATAAAAAAAGAAGAAGTCTCTCTATCTACTAATCCCATAGATAACCCTTGGATTCAGTCAGTCTGCGTGCTTAAATTCGACACTGAGCTGGGATAAGTTATGGAACATCAATATCCACCTAATACTTTGAACCCTTTAGAAGAAAAGGACATAACAAGCCTGGCCTTCCCTGAATCGAATTCAGTGATATGTGAAGGCAATCTCCTGTTTACATTCAGACTCAGACATTACAGCAAGTTGCCTCTGACTGCTATTAGTCCCTCAGAGCATCAGTTCAGTTTTGGCTTCACTATCTTCAATTAGAAGAAAGACCAGAAGAGTGCAAGAGGGTTCACTCAGCGCTCCATAGTCATCATGAGTGATCTCTACTTCGTTCAGTTTTACTATCAGTTAGTAGGGATTGTAGCGAGCAAATGCCAGTTCCACACTGAGATGCTTCTCTAAGACGATGATGAAACTGAAATGGAAGAAGCCAGACCTGAAAAGGTTCTTAAACAGTTCTACCAAATTTTAAACTCATGGCCTATACCCATTCCAGGGCAATAATATGAACTGAATGTCTTCGGTTATCTAATTCAAATTGATCTACCCAAAGACATGCTTGAAAACCTTGGATAGAAGTAAAAACAGAAAAGAATCGACCATCTTAAGAGTAAAGGTATCGAATATGAAGACATTTAAAGCACCGATTTTCAGTTGGACACCTACAATACACATTCAGGTCAAGCAACCTCTCTTATGACTGATGACTCTAGTTTGCCAGAAGATGACTAGAAAGTTACTTAAAATGCACTAAATAGTGAATCAGGCTAGATTATTTCTCAAGAAAAATTACAGAATCCTAAATCTAATCAGCAGCAAGATGAGGAGGAATAATAGCAATAGCAAATTGATTCAAAATCAGAAATCTAAAACTAAGAGGAGTCTAAAGCTGAGCAATAAGAAGAAGTGAAGAGTTACGAGAAAAAGAATGGCACCGAACTGGAGTAATTGAATAACAACAATCGATACAGAATAGATACTAGCTTCGAGAAAGAAAATAAAAGCAAAAACAATCTTGAATTGATTGAGAAAAATTCTAGGACTATTAATACATCAAGGAATAAGCAGAATACATACAGAAATAATTAGCAAGAAAACGAGTTAATAACTTACTTGACAAAGCAGTACAGCTGCAGTGACATGTTTGGAGAACTGATTATTTAAAAATACTTCTTGGGACAGAGTTTTTTAGTGCTATGGCAATTGTGGGAGATAGCAATTACTGAAGCCCCATTATTAATAGTAGGTGATGATCCAACTGAATGCTCTCATATTGTCCTAATCTTATTGTCTCTTATAAGTCCTCTGAAGACACTTGCAGATTACAGACCCTACATAACTTTATATGATTCAGACATCAAAGATTTTTCAACTTAGTCAAAGAAGAAGCAACTAGGGAACGTAATTATGGGAGTGAGCAACCCCTTTCTGATAACATTCTTGGGCTAATTTGAAAATGTACTTCACTTAGAGAGAGGACACTTCATTGAGAAGAAGTATCAAAGTCCTAAAGACCTTGAATTTAACTAAAAATGCTTGAAAGGCTCTTCTAAATTGCCAAAGGAAGTTAAGCACTCACTTATTTCATCTAAGAAACTCTATATGAAAACAAATAAAATCGCATTAAAGCATTTGAACATGGATAAATCAGTTGAGGAGTCTCTGGCTATTAATAACTGGATCCTTCGAAAGCACTTTAAGGAGATGACTGAGGATTTCTTATCAAGTTTCAACAGGTATTTGCAGGTAAACTGGGCTGTCAAGGGCACGGGTGATATGAATTAGATCAAGTTCAACCTGACTAGACCTTTTAAAGAAAAGGAATTTTTCGACTCTATTCATAGAGACAACTCCTTCTGTAAGAACTATATGGGAGGATCTAAGGACAAGACTTTAAAGCTTTACAAGAAATTTATAAATACAACTCTGTTTAGAAAGTACCTGAACGATAAGAAAAAGGAGATTGGATCTAGGGAAGTCCAGAAATTCCAAAATTTTCATAGTGGCAATTTGCTAGGCCCACAAAATATAAACAACCTCTAGTAAAACTATTAATCTTGATTTCATTTACAAATAAATTGTATATAATGAAAAGGGATATTGCGGGGTTTTGGGGTTTTGGGG